TTGCATTTTGAGGGTAATGCTGCTAAGTGGTACCAAGCTTACAAACAAAACCATACTTTCGGAATTGAGATCATTTTTGTGCTACGGTAGAAGAAGAGTTTGGAGCCGATGATTTTAGAACAGCAATGAATGACTTATTGGACCTCAAGCAGACTGGGACAGTGGCTGAATACACCACACAGTTCCAAGCTTTGCAATTTGTTGTTACCATGCACAATCCTAATTATGATGAAATGTTTTTCACACCTCATTACATAAGAGGACTCAAGGAAGAGATCAGAGGCACACTAGAGAGTCAAATGCCCACAACTGTGCATAAGGCTTCAATCACTGCTAAGGTTCAGCAGGGAGTGCATGACAGAAACAAGGCTAGATACCAAAGAAATGCCAATCAACCAAAACCATACATGCCACCAAGAATTGAAAACAAGCCAGCACCTCAACCCACTTCTCTGTGGAAAGATAGATAATTAAGGGACTACAGGAAGGCAAATGGCCTTTGTTTCAATTGTGGTGACAAATTTGTACCTGGACACCTAGAAGTGTGTCCTAAGAGAAACAAGCCTCAAACCAATGTATTGGTCATTAATGACCTTGACAGAGAACTGTCTGATGATGTCCTCAATCAACTGGCAGCCGAAGACACACTTCATGAGGAATTTTGTCGGCTGTCATTGCATGCTATCTCCAGTGTTGACAACACAAATTGCATCAAGCTAAAAGCCAGAGTTTAGGATAAAGTGATGTTCATCCTTGTTGACAGTGGCAGCTCACATAGCTTCATTAGTTATCAGTTTGTTGCTCTGGCCAAGTTACCTACAGTGTCAACCCAAGCTAGAAAAGTGAAGTTAGCAAATGGTGAATGGATGATCACCAACAGGAAGGTACAAGGGTTGTCCTGATATTGCCAAGGACATACACTGTCTACTGATATGGTGGTCTTGGATATGCATCCATATGATGCCATCCTCGGTTTTGACTGGCTTCAATCCAATAGTCCCATGCAATGTGACTGGTAACACAAAACTCTAGAATTTTGTGTCGAGGGCAGACCTGTCAAGCTAAAAGGAATCATAGAAACCCCACTACGACTTCAGTCTATCTCGGCCACTAAGGTATTTAACTCAACCAAGGGCAATGACATATGGGCTTTTGTTCTTCTAGACTATGTACAAGCAACCATCATATCCACACCTAGTGACACTTCCCAACAATCTGACATTATTGACATTCTTTCAACCTATAGTGATGTGTTCACTGATCCCAAAGCCTTACCACCCCAAAGAGCATATGACCATACCATCCCACTTTTGCCTGGATCTATTCCTATCAATTCTAAACCTTATTACTATTCACCATTACACAAAACTGAGATAGAGAGACAAGTCCAGGAGCTTTTGCAAGCTGGTTTGATAGCCCATAGCCATAGTCCCTTTGCTTCACCAGTCCTTTTGGTCAAAAGAAGGATGGCACCTGGAGATTTTGTGTAGACTATAGAAAATTGAATGACATCACAATAAAAAACAGATTTCCTATGCCAGTCATTGAAGAGATCTTAGATGAATTACATGGAGCTAAGTTCTTCACCAAGCTAGATATGAGGTCAGGATATCATCAAGTGAGAATGCATCCAGAGGATGAGTACAAAACTGCATTTAAAACTCATCAATGCCACTATCAGTTCAAGGTGATGCCATTTGGCCTTACAAATGCACCTGCCGCTTTTCAGTGCATCATGAATCAAATCTTGCAGCCATTTCTAAGAAAATTTGTACTGGTCTTCTTAGATGACATCCTAATTTTTAGTGCCACTATGGAAGACCACAAACATCATTTGCAGCGGGACTTGGCTGAATTGAGAAAGCACAGACTTTTCCTCAAAGAGAGCAAATGTTCTTTTGCACAGTCACGTTTGGAATATCTAGGACACATTATATCAGCGGAAGGGGTGTCCACAGATCCAAACAAGATCTCAACTATGCTCCACTGGCCAGCTCCTACTCCATTCACAGAGCTGAGAGCATTTCTGGGTCTTACAGGCTACTACAGACGGTTTGTAAAAGGTTATGGAATCCTAACCAAACCACTGACCAACTTGTTCAGACTGAAACAGTTCACTTGGCCTCCTGAAGCCCAGTCAGCATTTGACAATGTCAAAGTGGCACTGACAAGAACACCTGTCCTTGATTTGCCCAACTTCCAAGAACCCTTTACAATTGAAACAGATGCTTGCCATGATGGCATTGGAGCGGTGTTGATGCAGCAAGGTCAACCCATTGCTTATCTTAGCAAAGCCCTAGGAGAGAAACATAAAGCATTATCCATATATGAAAAGGAGTTCTTGGCTCTGATCATGGCAGTGGAAAGGTGGAGAGCTTATTTACAAAGGCAAGAGTTTATTATAGTGACAGATCATAAATCACTAGCATATCTCAATGAACAAAACCTCCACTCTGAGATGCAGAGGAAAGCAATGACAAGGTTAATGGGACTGCATTTCAAGATTGTCTACAGACAAGGAAAAGAAAATGTGGTAGCTGATGCACTCTCTAGAGTAGCCCATCTCATGTCATTGCAAGCTGTGTCTTCGGTGCAACCTGCTTGGATACAGGAAGTTCTTAACTCATACGCCACAAATGCTCAAGCCCAACAACTCCTGACCAGGTTGGCCATCTCCAGTCCAGATGCACAGGGTTACAGTTTAGACAGAGGGTTGGTCAGGCACCATGGCAAATTCTGGATTGCTCAAAATGCAGCACTTCAAACAAAAATCATTGCTGCCTATCATTCCAGTGCTCTTGGAGGACACTCAAGTATTGCTGCTACCTACCACAGACTTAAAAGGCACTTTGCTTGGAAAGGTATGAAACAGGATGTGGAATCATTTATCAAACAGTGCTCTGTCAGTCAACAGTCTAAACACTCCAACACTCATCCATTGGGCTTACTCCAACCCCTGTCAATTCCAGAAGGTGTATGGAGGGATTTGTCCATGGACTTTATAGAAGGCTTACCCAAGTCACAGGGCTTCAGTGTTATCTTGGTTGTGGTCGATAGGCTCACTAAATTTGCCCATTTTCTGCCAATCAAACACCCATACACTGCAGCAACAATTGCACAACTTTTCATGGACAATGTGGTCAAACTACATGGATTACCAAGTACCATAGTAACTAACAGGGACACTGTATTTCTCAGTCACTTTTGGAAAGAGCTGTTTAAGTTGTATAAAGTCAATCTCCAACTCAGCACTACCTACCATCCCCAAATAGATGGGCAGACTGAAAGAGTCAACCAATGTTTGGAAATGTATCTCAGATGCTATGTGCAAGACTCCCCAAAAGCTTGGACTCAGTGGCTATCATTAGCAAAACTGTGGTACAATTCATCTTATCATACTGCACTGGGATGCTCACCTTTTAAGGCCCTGTATGGCTACGAACCCAATGTGGGAGCAGTTCCAAATGTACTAGCTTCAACATCCACTATCGTAGCTGAGATCATTGAAAACAGAGAATTGCATTTAGAAGCCCTCAAGACAAATCTAGCCAAAGTACAAAATCGAATGAAACCGCTGGCAGATCAGAAGAGGCAGGACTATCATTTCTCTGTTGGCGATCAAGTGTTGCTGAAACTTCAGCCATACACACAATCCTCAGTGGCTAACAGGCCCTTTCCATCCAAAGCTAGCTTACAAGTACTTTGGACCATATACAATACATGAGCGCATTGGCAATGTGGCCTATCGGCTCGAATTACCAGAAGGATCATTGATTCACCCTGTTTTTCACATTTCTCAGCTAAAGCCTTTCATTGCAGACTATACTCCTGTATATGATACCCTTCCAGTCACTACTGACTTGGAAGCTGCAGCGGCCAAACCTGAAGCAATCCTGGAGCGCTGGTTGGTCAAGAAAGGCAGCACAACGATTCCTCAAGTCAAGGTAACATGGACCAGCCTTCCACAATCAGCTACGACTTGGGAATATTACAATGTGCTCAAGAAGAGATTCCCAGATGCGCCAGCTTGGGGACAAGCTGGCACCTCAGGGGGGGGGGAGATGTCGTGCCGGACGACATACAGTGAGCTAGTGGCGACTGAAGAAAGTTGTGTCATATACTTAGTTGGCGTATGTGCATATTTATGTTTTCCAGTTGTTGCACTGTCTTGTGGGCCTTGATGGCCAGACTCTGTAAGCACACATAAGTGCCGCACCCATATCTTGTGGGGAGATTCAGACATTACATCGTAATTAGAAATCGCCAAGGCAGAGGGGTTTGCCGCGCCGGCGTCCTCGTAATCCATTTCCTCTTTTGTGCTCACGTCGTCAGCGATCGCCGGCGGCCAAGGGTGTGACACTCTCCCTCTCTCGAGTATCCTAATATGCAATCTCAGTTGTCCTATTTCACGATTGAATTATAATAGCGCTAAACAAGATGGGTGTAGGTTAGAAACATGAATCTACATCATTATATAGATTGTCGCATAAAAAAAAGGGTGCACTTCCATACCTTATAACAATCAAACGAAGTTCGCATGCACTATTTTTTCGAGGTTATAGCTTTTGCTATGCACTTAAATATACACTATGTCTAAATACATAGCAAAAGCAATATATTTGGAAAACTTAAATGTCTTATAATTTAGAACGGAAAGAGAGAGCAGTTGCTTCAGATCTCAAAAAAAATGGACAGAGCTTCCAATCCACGAAACCTCAGATCATATGGTAAGGAACTCGCGAGTTTGCGTGTTTTCATTTCCTTTGCATTTCATGTTATAGTGTAGGGTATGTACACGTATTGACGCCTAACCTCTGCCTGGATGGACAACAATCGCCACAATCCTCCACAGAGTTCATCCTGCCTGTTGTGAACAAAAACAGCTTACAAGAGGCATACATGGATCGATCGTTCTAAAAGAAACAAAAGGGAGAAAAAGAAAAGGAAAACCAAAGTGTCTTCCCTGTCGCGCTTGGAATGGCCTGGATGCATTGGAGGCGTTACGGTGACCATTGGTCAGGGAGAGCCAAGAAGTACTTCGACATGGCCTTCCTGAACCTCTTCTTGTACTGATCCGGAGATATGATGGTCGGCAGAACATCCTTGGAGCCACCTAGAAATCCTGTTGCCTTCACCCAAGTCTCTAATTGTTTGTCCCAAGTGTATTGCCGAAGATAGTCGATAATCCCCATCACAAGCTCTTTTCTTTCTTCATCAATGCCGACTAGGAGAGAGTAGTCCATCACATCCACCGACTGAGGAAAAGGGGAATGCATGGCAGCAAGAGTTAGTCACAACAGCCGCATCTTCATGCACCTTGGTATTCTAAATGAATATGCTAAAAAGTCTGTTGATCTGACCAGTTTACTCAAATAGTCACCATCTATATAAGCTGAACCATACTGACAAGATAGGTTAGATACAAGTTGTCAATTTGAATGGCAACAACAAAAAGAGCCGGGAATCAAATCACCATATCTAAGTAGCCGGCATGAATAAGACCTATCTGAACCATCGACAGTAGCCATGTGGACTAACCACTAACTCTTGCTACACTGGCACCAAAATCACTCATCTGGCAACACCAGTGCATTCAAGCTACCTCAACCCAGCAACCCTACAGCTTGTTGTCTGCCCAGCCTGCCCCACACCCATCCTAGCTACCAATTACAGTTCATAAATTGCCACTGTAAAGATGAAAAATAGACAACACTTGCCACTATTTATATATTATGCACTTTTCATGCTGACCTCGCCCATCTTTTGATTTCTTTGCATTTCCTTCTCCTGAAACTCCTCTCTGCTAGCTGCCACGCTACACCCTGGCTAGAGACTACCTTCTGCTATCTCTCCCTCCATACCACTCTCTGACCCCTACACTCGTGTAACCTTACCTCTACACGTGTGCAAACTTACCTCAATTGGCCGTCCGGCTTGTGCCTCCAAAAGAATGGATAGATCCTCCCCCTCTTACTCACTTTTGTAGTGCTACTTCTACATCTCTCCGCGATGTCATGGAAGAACTGAACAAAGGTTTGCCTCTTGTGTGTATGGGTGTGTGTACGTGTGGTGATTTATGTGCTATTTGCTCTCTGCACCTCAAAAACTCCAAAATGAAGGATTGTGGCTTCTACATGTTTTCACAACTGAATTTCAGATGTGTGGCAAAAGCTGTCTATTTCTATCTTTGTAGAAGCAAATATGAATCACAACAGAATCAATAGGCAAAGCCTCAAGTAGCATGTCTAATATTGGGCATTCAATATTTCCCATATCAATTGGCTGCTTAGGATTTCTTGGAATCTTGAAAATGGTGGGGGGAAGGTAGGTGGGCTTTTGTAATGTGTGTGATTGTCTGAAATTCAGATGTCTGGGCACATATTATAGGTCATAGTACACCAAAAGAAGGAAATTTATTTGTTGGGATCATTGGGTCTGGTCTGTTACTGAGTGAGGAGGGAGAAAGGGAGGGGGAGTTGAAACACATCACTCAGGATGGAGAAAAATATGTGCAGATCAGGCTAATCAGAACAGGGAACCCAGCAATGGTGCACATCACCAGGGTCAAGGTTAAGGTTCACACTGAAATCCAATGTACCACCAGATGTCCAGGGTAGATACTGGCATACTTTTCATGTCACGTGACATAAAAAGATTACTACTTCATAGTACCAATCATGATGAAGTGGAAATGAGTGCATGAAACAGTTTTTTTGGTAGTGACACCTCATATACAGACGAGGTCAGATGGGGCGACGATGTAAAATTAGCTATGCAACCAAGGTCACAGTCCAGATAGAAATACTAGGTTGCTGCACCCAGGGAGTATGGTATATATAACCTTCACCAATGAAATAAGATCTCACAGCAAGTGAGTCTACTTACTGCCAGAAAATAAGTATCATTCCAGACAGCTCGTTCCAGCCTTCTTTTTGCTTTGCTTCCAAGAAAAATGGGCTTTGTGTGAAGTGTCTCTAACAGATTAAGATCCAAGAGAACCTTGTTGTTCCCTGAAGTATCAGGGTTGTAGCGCGAACGCAAAGAGCCCTTTAGGTCATATATTCTTGATACCTTCCTCTTGAAAAATAGGTTTTCCATGACCATTACATCCATCTTCAGCTCCTTTCCATCTCTCAAATTCTTGGCAGTGATCTAGTGCATAAATGCACAGCTATGTTCATTATGTAATCTCACAGGATTTGATAAACACAAGAAGTAACAAAGTAGTAGTAACACGAACCTGGTAAAGACCAAGGACTCTAGTGAGGCAAGTTGGGCTCCCAGATGCTACAGAGTCTGTCAAATATTTGAAGTAATCAACAGCATAATCCTCAAATGAATCTAATTCTGTCCGGGTCACTTGCTTTATCACAAATCTGTCATCCAGTGTTTTGGCAAAGTAGACATTACTCTTGCCACCTTGAGCACTCCATCTCTTGCAGCGACTTAAGGAGCGGATATAGTCTAGCTCATCTCGACAGCACTTTCTCCTGATTGCATCAAACTGCTTTGCAAAATAACATGTCACAGAAAATTTTGCTTTATCAACAGAATATGAGTCTTCATCCTCAAAAGAAACAGTCAAATGGTTATCCTTAGAGTCATTTCCAGTTATAGGTTGAGGCTGATCAGAACCATAATTCAATAAACTAGATTCATTAATCTGATCCAGAAGTGGCAACAAGAAGCTGCGATATTCTGGAACAGTCATGGCATGGGCTATCATGCTAGATGGTTCATCATCATAAATTGGAACAATAACATCTGAATCATTTTGTGACAGTAGCAACCGACTCTCGCCATCAATCATACCAGGAAGTGAAAGCTTGTTCAAGAATGTTGGTGACAGACCCTTACCAGTTCTCTCAATAGCCTTTGGGGGCCTTTGAGAATAAGATCTTCTTATACTAGCATTTGAATCATCAACATTTCTGGAACTGACAGCAGAATCGAATGATTTGATTCTAATTGGTGCTATAACCTTCTGGTATGCAGGATCATCCTTCAGACTAGCAGGTATGAATGAAACTGCCTCCATGCTACTTGATGAATCATTAACAAACTGACCAGAACCAGTCCATGCTAAGTCAATTCTGTCAGAAAGATTGGAGGCAGAAGATTGTGATTTCTGCCAAGTCTTTCCAGCTTCTAGTTCAGCCAGCACTCCTTCACTCTGCATTTCACATGGGCCTGGGGAAAAGCTGATAACAGTTGAGCCAGAATGCATGGATACATCACCCATAATGTTGGTTTCCAATCCCAAATGTGAAACACTAGTGTTGGTTTGTTCTGTCATAGGGGATGATTTCACTGAAACTGCAGCCACTTCCAACGTACTTGGTTGATTCTGTTCTAGAGAATTTTCAACATTCAAATGTTTACCAGATGTCACATCATTTGATTGTTCTAATAAGCTTTCAGTAAGCTTCTCCGAACATTGTGCATCATTTGGCACAGTACGACAGTTTTCTTTCGTGAGGGAGTGCATCATGTACAGTCTGCGATCCCATACGTGAATATCAAGTACAAGCTCTCTCCTCAGGTGATTGAGCTCTAGAACATCTATATATGGTTCAAATATCTGCAAGTCATCTATGATAGAAAACCCTGATACGACCTGAAAAAGTAAAGAACAATGTTCTGGTCTTTAACTATCTTTTCGATAGCAATCTACAAGACAAATAGAAAACTTTGTACAGTTCAACAGCAATCTATAAAACAAGTAGCATTTGAACTTACGTCATACTTCTTCCACTCAACTTTAACCAACTCCTTAAGATCGGCAACATGTTTATGCAAGCCTGACTTCATACCAATGTTCTGGTCTTTAACTATCTTTTCGATGCAGTCAAGTTTAACAACAATTTCCCTATATAGATGTTCCTTCCTAGCGCATACCTGCAAGTTAAGTTATAAAAGCTTACCAAGGGCAATACATCTCCCAAAATGATGCCAATGGGTTGGCTTTTAGAACCAATTTAGACAAGTTTAGATAAAACTAACACAAACATACGTCAACAGCTTCTTTGATGACCCAATCTTGAGCTTTTGGATAAGCAAAGTCCAGTACTGAGGATGGCAAGTTGACAGAAAGAACGTCTACTGGTGAATAACGGAAGACAGCAACCATGCTCCCAAGCCTGTTTGATTGAGAATGCGAACTGTTACGTTGGTCATTATTAGATAAGAAACTGAAGAGTATACAATAAGAAGCTACAAACCCATAAAAACGAAGGCAGTCCCTCTGGAGGGAGTGTCCACAGCAGGCAATTCGATTGGCTGTTGTGTGATTTGAAAAGCTAAGTTCCAGAAACTTCCCAAAAGATAATCCGCGTGCTGCATCCGACATGACTATCCTTTGTGTGGCTGGAGGAATTCCATCTTTTGGTTTGCACCTGAGACACCTGTGCCACATCCATACCTTCCCATCAAGCTCCCCAGGTAGCTTGACAGATGGAAGAGTTCTGACACTGATTGTGAGACTGCCTTGTTGATGAGTGTAACATCGCACATGAGATTCTGCAGGCTCCTTGCAAGATTCGCAGCATGAAGTCTGAAAATATAGGGTGGATGAAAATTAATAAGGTACTGTAAAGCCTATAATAGTAAACTAGCAGATTATGGATCACAACGCAACTACCTGAACAAATAAATCTTCACGAAAATACCTTCCAAGCGGCTTATCAAAAGTACCATAGAACTTTATCCGAAATAGCTTAGATTGCTTGCATACAATTCCTCTCAGAGGGCATGCAACTGACAAGGAAACCAAAATGCTCTGTGGACTGTCAGATGCTGGGAAATATTCGTTGTGATTCCCATTGTGATCACGTATTGCTACAGAATCTTCATCTGAGATATGATTCCAACCATTATCCAAGTCAAGGAAGTCACTATCAACCTTTGACATTCCACCACCTGCTTCATCTATGTGACCATTATGGGGAAAATATAAATTTCCGCCTATCCTTTTTCTCACACTGGCAAGTGAACTTTTAGGTGTCTGAACAGTCATGCATACAGGTGGTACACAGCTGCCATACATTGAAGCTTCTGTGGAATAAGGGTATACCTTAATGGTTCCACGAGTATATTCTTCCTGACTTAAGTCAGCTCTTGAATGACAGTGTGCATGTTCCTCATGAATTATGTCATCTCTTGAATGAGATTGATTTGCAAAACCATTAAAGCAAGGCATGATGCACCCACTTCCAAAAGTTTCCCCTTCAATGGTTTGAAATTCATTCAAATTCTGCTGATAGTATCTTGAGGAAGAATTCTGCTTCTCAAATTGAAGATCTGAGGGACTTTTGGAAGTGTTGCACCCTCATCAGCAAGATATAAGGTCTCAAGCGACAGGTGGTATGCTGCAAATAAAGCATACTGCACAGCAAGTTTGACTTTCTTTAACTCTTCATATGACTTTCCTCTTAGAAGAACCTAGGAAAAGCATGCCATTTTTATCAGATATGACATGATCACAGTATAAATAAAGGCATAACTTTTATCCTTTGTGACATAATCACAATATAAAGAAAGGCCTTCAATTTTCCATCAACCAAATAAAATCATATTGTTAGTGTAAATGCATGCCATTTTTTTCAGATACATGGCATAATCACAAATATAAAGAAAGAGATCCAAAACAGTAAGTTCCAAATATAGTAAAGGATTAAGAGACTATTGAAACAAAGCATTTTCTATTCACCAAAGAAAATCCATTGCAATGCACAATTGCACATAATACCTTCAGGTGTAAAATAATGGACAGAAAAGACAAATGGCAGAAGAATTTAAACTATTTGGGCCAATTAACAGTAATACTGAATAAAAGCTATCTTTGAAATGCAGTTAGATAATTTGATTATTACCGTGCACCCCAAGCGTCTTGGACAACCATCAAAAAACATCAGTGTCTTGACTGTTTTTTTGTTTGAGACCTTTGGTGATGAACATTCTGTAACTTTCTCAATCCAGAATGTTTGGCATTGTCCAACTCCAGTAGAAGTGATATTTTCAACAGAAGACGCAATTTGAGCACCTGTGCAGCGAGATATTCTTTCCAGAAGTGATCTCTTGACGTTCAATACTAAAGAGATATCTTTTGCAAGAAGCTGTTGCGCATGCAATGGCACACTTTTCTCGACTAGCAAGACATGTGGGCGTTGAGCCTCTATCTTTGCAACAGCATTCTTAAGATACTCCTTCTCCTGTACACATTGCATTGAAATCAATATTAAGAACATATTGAGATAAATCAGCATGAACATGTAACTGGAAAATGATGATATGACCTGTTCAAGAATGCTGTTTATTGAAGCTAGTTTGTTCGTGACTTTCTGGTATTCCAGTGCTCCTCCCAAAAGAAGCAACCTAGGGTTCTCATGTTTTGACACCATGCGTTTATGTTTTACATTCTTAGAACAGACAACACCTTTAATGAAAGCACTGCAAACAGTTGAACAATCATTTAGCGCCAAAATACCATGGCGTAAATTTCATGTAATTCTTCAGTACAAGTTGTAGTCAAAGGGAATACCTATCATTTGGATTTCCTGATGCTACGCATTTGACTTTGACATAGTCTGTGGGATCCATGCTACCACCCTTGCTTGTGTCTGGCCTGACAAAGGTAGCTGCTTGCCAAGCTAATGAGGCTACTATGTCTGGCCAGCCATCCACTTGATCAATGCAATGTCCTAGGAGCAATTGCGACACGAGAGCCCTGAAATGCCCATGTAAAGCACTCCTCAAGAACTCTTTTTGAGATATACTATGTTTTCCTTTGATCCCTAACGAATCATCATCATCATTATCATCATCATCCTCGCCATCACAATAATCATGGTTAACATGTCCAAAGACCTTCCCATCACAAACATCATTGTCATCGTCCTCATCATATTGAAAACTACCATTTTCATCCTGAGGTGGTGGAGGATACCAGATGTGTCTACTCTCAAAATCAATTGGTTGCACATCATCTTTCCTCTGTTCATCATCATGCCGAGGTGAGTTCATAAAACTAGAATCAACATCATCCGATCCCCGGCAAGAATTCCAAGGATAGCTAGGAGAATGGCAACCCCTCCTTGAGGGAGGACTTGTGTCTCCTACTCCCAATTGTTTGATAGGACTATCTAATGGGCTTGAAGTCCCCAACCGGAAGGTATACATCCTACTAATACTTGTGCTCATCGAATCCGTATCAGAAGTGTCTTGAGAAAACTCACTCTGGGGGGAAAAGTACCGATCCAAATCCTCACCCTCTTCACACCCAATGCTCCTGCATCCACTTATTTCATTCAGTGAAAAGTCTATCAACAAGTTATCCCCTCTAAGCTAAACAAGAAAGTCAATTGCTCACCTCGGAGTTGAGCACCGGAGAGGACCAGGCGACCACATGCGCCGCCAAGCAGCCAGCCTCGGCACAGGTGGCGTACAAACACGCTCTGGTGGGGACACTGGAGGCCCGTTGTCGCCGAGCCCACGCTGCTCCACGGCACCCCCTCGGCCTCCGTTAATAGGCCGAACGCCAAGGCCGCCGCTGTCCGTCATCGCAAGCAGAGTCACCCAAGAATCGGACTTCTGCGCGACGGGCACTCCCATAAAAGCCCCAGAACAGCTAAAAAAGGCTACAGGAAACACCAAGTTGGAAGTTCTTGATATCTTTCTAAACTCTACACCAAAGCCACCCAAAAATCACGGGACACAGCCAAATGAAACCGCAAACCTACGATTCGTTAGAGGTGAACTAAAAGGGACCCCAGAAGGCGCCTAATCCTAGCGTTTCTTGGCTCCTATGCAGACGAGGAATTCCGTCGAGCACGTGGCGCGCGAGGAGGAAACATGCTTCAAACCTCTCCAATCCAGCAGAGATAGGACTAGGCTGGAGGTGGCGAAGGACGAGGAGGGCGAATGGAGCTTGGAGTTGGGGAAGGAGGGGGCGGTGCCCATGTGGGAAGGAGGAAGCTTTGTGCGAGGCCGGGAATGGAGGTAGTTAGTTATAGTGTAGGGGAAAAGGTGAGCGGGGAGAAGAAGGGAAAAAAAAAAATAGTTGGGTTTGGGTGGGTGCTGCGGATTTTCGTTTTCTCTTTCCTTTTAGCCATAATATGTGCTTTTCGACTCGTCTTTTCAGCTGGAACAATATTTTTCTCTTACAACAAATCAGTTAGAACAGTGTTTTAACTTGTTTTTTCAGCGAAACGAACAAGGCCTTAATTCCTTCGTTTCCTTTTTCCTTTTTCTTTTCCCTTTTTATTTTATTATTATTATGTTTTTATTATTGGTCAAATCAAAACCCATGGACAATTGACTGATTAATGGAGACATGAAATTACATTGATACTCCTATTTATTAGGGCCTCCTTTGTAACAATAGATTTTTTTTCTATTTCTATGTTTTTTCTATAAAAAATAAACTTATTTTTGTAACATTCATATATAGTTCCTATAGATTCTTGTGTTCCAAAGAGGCCCTGGAGCAACGCAATGGGATAATACCCACTACTACCTCGTGTTGCATGTAGTGATAGATTTGTTGCCACATGGGGAGGATGATATGGGCCCAGCCTAATGTCTAAGGGCGAAAACTAAAAATTCTTGAATAATTTCTAAATTCTAAAACATCAAGTTTTCGATGGAGAAGTATCAAGGTAAAAATCAAGGAAAGTTTTTCTATTTATTTATCATTTTTTCTTCTATATACTCCCTCGATCTCGAAATGATAAGCATATTTTGTATAGAAAAAAGTCAAATTACACACTTGAATCAATAATTAGTCAAATTATATACAAAATTAGAACATAAAAATTACATCAATAGATTTGTATTTAAAATGATTCTAGCATGATATTGATTCTTTAGCAAACAACATATTATAAGATAAAAATAATACCAAAACTTATTTTGTATGACTTTTTCCTAATCAAAGTAGGATTATATATATAATATTCTAGGATGGAGGGTGTATTTATAGTAGGTGGTCAATCCATTCGGAACGTGAATGTTGATTTTCTTTCTATTACGAAAAATGGGTCGAATTGCTTTGGAATGGTACCTCATGATCTCAAATATGAGTTAATTCGGACATGGTTACAATAATATTAGTATATATTATTAAATTTTGATGTGGGAAGAAATGTGGTGTTGGTCGATTCACACTACAAATGACAAAATTTACTAATTATCATTATAAAATTACGCTTATTTGTCGTAAAATACCTTATCAATTATTTTATTCATTTATTAGATTTCAATGGGAGAATGTGGGAGGAAATGTCTTTTATAGTTTTATGTCTTTTTCTTCAACCTCCTCCCCTCCTCAGTCCTCACATGCTCCTCCGGCCTCACTCGGTGTTGCCCGCCTCTGATGTGTCCTTGGGCATATTTATAGAGGTGGGCCTTTTAAGAGATCCGCCTCCGAAAATAGCTTTCATTTTTGGAGACGGATATCTTAAAAGGCCCGCCTCTATAAATTTAGTTTTGGAGAATTGTAATTTTTGACTGTCTCTGTAAATCCATTTTAGGATATGGACAATTTGTGTCTATCTTCGTAAATAAAACGTCCGCCTCCAAAAATCCTCAGATATCTAAGGATGGTTGGATGTTCGCTACACGGACTGCGTCATTTCATGAGGTGAAAGAGACTAAGAGTAGTGGGTGTGCTCCATGGTATTGCTCAGACTTTGGTTTGTGTAATAGTTTAATAATGGTGTAAGAGACTAAGTGTAATGAGACATTGATTTGTAAGGGCCCATTTGGTTGGGCCGTTGAAAGATTCTAATGGCTAGAGGGAGGTCAATAGCCTATTAAAAATTTATACAACAACGCTTAGCAACCCAGTTAAACAAATATGAGGCTAAACAAGTGTTGCGCTAGCCTATTAAAAATGCAAGCCACCTACCATAATTCTAGTTTCTATAATCTTTATTCACACAATGGCTATGTCACTACACAAAATTAGTGTGCTCTCAAAGGCTAACCAAAGAGCCACATTAACTAAACTAACAAGCTCTCACGACTAGCTACACTAAAAAGCTTGACAACTAGTTTATAGTAATGTAAAGAGAGAGAGCAAGATGGTTATACCGTCAAGTTGAGGTATGAACCAATCAATCACAAGAATGAATACCAATGAAGACCAATCACCTCGGAATCAAATGATGACACAATGATTTTTACCGAGGTTCACTTGCTTGCCGGCAAGCTAGCCCTTGTTGTGGCGATTCACTCATTTGGAGGTTCACGCGCTAATTGGCATCACACGCCAAACCCTCAATAGGGTGCCGCACAACCAACACAAGATGAGGATCACACAAGCCACGAGCAATTTACTAAAGTACCTTTTGGCTCTCCGCTGGGGAAAGATCAAGAACCCCTCACAATCACCACGATCGGAGCCGAAGATAATCACCAACCTTCGCTCGACGATCCTCGCTGCTCTAAGCCATCTAGGTGGCGGCAACCACCAAGAGTAACAAGCGAATCCTACAGCGAAACACGAACATCAAGTGCCTCTAGATGCAAACACTCAAGCAATGCACTTGGATTTACTCCCAATCTCACAAAGATGATGAATCTATGATGGAGATGAGTGGGAGGGCTTTGACTAAGCTCACAAGGTTGCTATGTCAATACAAATGGCCAAGAGAGCGAGCTAAGCCAGCCAAACGATATTTATAGACACTCCCAAATAATAGAGCCGTTGACAAAATTATTGGGCTGACTACAGGATGACCGGACGCGTAGGTCGTGTGCACTGGACGCACCGGTCGTGTGCACCAGACGCGTCCGGTGTGGCGACCGAACGTGTCCAATCGCTGCGTCCGGTCGCAGCCAGACCGCCACGTGTCCCAATCAAATTGTTTAACCATTCGTGCCCAACGGCTATCTCTACGCACGGTAATGCTAGTGACCAGACGCACCGTTAGAAAATCGACCAGACACGGAAGACGTAGCATTCGATCGAGTCCAGAGAGCTCCCAGAGCCGCTCTGGGCTGACCGGACGCTCCTAGCGTTCGATCAAGTATAGCGCTGAAACCCGAGTCTGCTGGTTCACACCGGACGCGTCCGGTGTGGCGACCGAACGCGTCAGGTCACAGCGTCCGGTCGCTACGTCTAGTCGAGTCCAAAGAGCTCCCAGAGCCGCTCAAGGCCGACCGAACGCGTTTGGTGTGGCCGACCGGACGCACCCCTATGTCCGGTCCTCTCTGGACCAATCACCCGCGCTCCACGTCACCTCGACCGGACGCTAAATAGTGATTTCTCAACGTCCGGTCACTGCTACGACCCAGAGTCTGATCAACTCTGCCGCGCCTGGCCAGAATACCGGACGCGTCTGGTATGGATATCGAACGCGTCCGATCACGTTCGGAAGATACCGGACACGTCCGGTCCTCATGTCGGACGCGTCCGGTCACCCCTGATCAGCGCATTCAACTCCTTTTCAACTCTATCTTCTTTACCCTTGCTGAAATATACCAACCACCAAGTGTATCACCTTGTGCACATGTGTTAGCATATTTTCACAAATGTTTTCAAGGGTGTTAGCACTCCACTAGATCCTAAATGCATATGAAATGAGTTAGAGCATCTAGTGGCACTTTGATAACCGCATTACGATACGAGTTTCACCCCTCTTAATAGTACGGCTATCGATCCTAAATGTGATCATACTCGCTAAGTGTCTCGATCACTAAACAGAAAAGCTCCTATCAATTTTACCTTTGCCTTGAGCTTTTTGTTTTTCTCAATCTTCTTTTTCAAGTCCAAGCACTTGATCATCATCATGGCATCACCATCATCAAGTATTGATCTTTATTTGCTTCACCACTTGGAATGTGCCACGTATCTCATAATGACTTTGATAAACTAGGTTAGCACTTAGGGTTTCATCAATTCACCAAAACCAAACTAGAGCTTTCAATCTTCCCCTTTTTGGTAATTGATGACAACCCTTTCACAAAGATATGAATTGAAATTCATTTGAATCCATGTTGCTTGCCCAAGCATATTTACCATGTGTAAAAGGATATGGACAAGTTTCATGAATTTCAAATGGTAGCAATTGCTCCCCCCTACATATGTGCTAAGAGTTTGGATTGTAGCTTGCACATATGCTTCGATAGGAAATATATGAGACAATGTCTACCAAATGATGCTAAGGTATAAAAGATGGACCTTTGAAGCGTGATACCAATCGGAGTACACCAATATACCATCATTAGCACCATTAGTAACTAGACATACACAAAAACTAGAACACCCCGTGAGATCAACATTAGAAGTAAGGGTCTAGTTTTCATAATATGAGCATGAGTCTAGTTACTTAACCTATGCATGCTAATTTTTTATTTTATCATTCAAACCTACAACTAGCATACACCACACAAGCATGGATATTGAAATGCCATGCAAGCAAACATATGAAATGCACATTCAAATGCATCAAACAAGTTTATGAGCTTGCTCCCCCCACTTGCGTGCTTAAAATTTTAATTGATCCTTCCTTTATCATATCTCTCCCCCTATGCCAATTTCTCACTATTTCTCCCCCTATCACTTATATCTTTGTTTTTCTCTCCCTTTGTCATCAATGACCACAAAGGCTTTAAATTATAGATACGTTAGGATTATCAATGTCAATAAATGGGGTGATGATCATTTTCCCAAATATAGTCCAATCTAGATCATTTGCCAAAAATATTAAGCTCGGTTTGATCCAAGAACAAGTTTCTTCACACCTCAAAATAAGGGTTATCTTGTACCATGTTGAGTTAAACACTTAGAGCTCATTTTCTAGATAAAACACTAGGTTTACAAGCCCACAAACATGTCATATGCTACCACTAGACCAAATTAAGCATAGAAGCAATAGTGGTACCATACAAACATCAAAATCATTTGATTTTCATGAATGAGCCTATTAAATGTGAAAAATGACTAGATGCATGAA